TCTCTCACAGCAAGTGAAGCTGTGTGTTAAATGTGACTAGTACTTTTTGTTTGTTTGTTTTTGGTTTTTTTTTTTTTTTTTGGTGGGGAGCTGTCTGGTCGCTAGGGCCTAGGAGCTAGAGAACTGATCTGCTGGTCTGGAGATGGCAGAGCTGCCAGCTTAAGTTGTGCTGCGATCAAGAAAAATGGGCCTTGATGGTTCGTGTTCCTGGAGTTGTATCCATGCCAGTGGATGCCCACATGCTCCAGAAGAGAATTTGACATCGCTGCTGCCATTGTCGCTGTTATAAACAGTGGTGGCCACCGCTGTTACTGTTTCTGGGATTACCATTTCATAATTGGTTACTACAGCTAGCACAGTGGAGACCCTGGCAGCAAAAGTAGTTAATCTTTCATTGTATTGGGCATGATAAATTTAATTCAATAGTTATATACATTTCAATTGGCTTTGAAAGTTATAAATTTATAAACTCAAGTTCCATTTGCTTTTGGGATACCACCTTACAAGGACTCCAATGTGCAGTAAGGCTAATTAAGGAAGGGAATGGCTCAGTTGCCTTTAGCCTACTGGCTATGGGTGGCTTAGGACTTCTGTTGGTCTTTTCTGTGACGAACACACAGATTGCAAGCCCAGTGCCACTTTGAGATCTTTGGCAGCAGTTAACTCTGCAGCTCACACATGATTGAGCCTGTATGATAATGAGTATTCAGAGACGGGTAATACCTGGGGGGTGCTCACCAACCTAAGACAGAGCGCCTGTGTGGCCTGGGCAGGTGTCTCCATGATGGGTAAGGACCTGCTGATGTCCCATGCAACCTAAGTCAGAAGCTCATTTTTTAGTAAAAGGGGGGCCCTGGCCCCCCGTTTTGGGTAGCTGTTGCCTTGCTTGCTGACCTTGACCTTGATATCCTCCCTATGCTAATTCCCTGCTGGGTTCCACACTCCTGAATGCTTAAGGGAAGTTCCTTGTCTGTGTATCCTGCATATTGGGCGTTAACAGCTTAGATGCAAGATTGTAAAACATTGGTAGCAAACTTCTGCCCTCCAGGGTTCTCCCATTGTGCTGTAAGCCTGTATTTAAGACCTCCTCCCTCCTTCAATAAACAGCATTCAGCATTCAAAAAAAAAAATGTGACTAGTGACGGTAAGTTTTCAATTCCAACTTCGGTCAAATGTGAAAACTGTAGGGATTCCTTCTGTAGCTCACTAACGCTCAGCACTGTTGTTGCAGGGCAGCAGCTCACAGGATGTCCTCTGTGGTCCAGCATCAGGAGTACAGCTCTGATGACCCTCCAAGTTGGTTTGGCTACGACTCTGAAGGAAATCCTCTTGAAGAGACTCAAAGTAGAATACAAACTAGAAATTACTCGGAACTGATAGTCAAAGAGTCATTCAGCAGTGATGAGGAAAGTCCAGACGCCAACCTCATATAGGAAAAACAAAACATCTGGAACTGACAATGTTTCTTCTTTTGATGTTAATATTGTTAGTTGCTGGCTCCCAATAACAGCACAAAAAAGCAGCATGCCTCTGCTTCTTACTTCAATGGCAAATGTCACCTTTATCTAATGAGACCCCAAGGTAACCTGATCAAGTTATTTTCAAACATCTATTTATTTAATGTATATGTGCCTGTGTGAGTCTGTGTGTGTGCAGGAGTCCACAAAGGCCTGGAACTGGTGTTACAGAATTCTATGAGAGCTATGTAGGTGCTGGGAACTGAACCTGGGTCTTCAAGGCCAGTAAACTTTTATCCACTAAACCAGCTCTGAGCAAACTAAATTTAGATGAGATGATCAGATCCAAGGTTACAATGTAGGAAATAGTTTGGAAAGACTTTTTTTTTTTTTTTTTAACAAGTAGGAATTGCTCTCCAGATAGGTGATGACTCTGAGGATTTGCAAAGATTTACTATAAATGATAGGGACATACATTTTCAAAGGAGGAGAGCTAAAAGTCAGCCCTAGATTCAATACCCAACAGAAGCAAATTAAAGAGAAACAAGACCAGAAAGGGCGCTCCTGTACCATCTCAGCTCTTCTTATCATGTCTGGGCTACACAGGAATTTTAACTATGAAATGCCAAAAGACAAAAACAAAACACCTTTCAATCTTCTTCTATGAAGAAATGGCCTTTAATTTCATGTCTAAAAACTAATGGTAAAAACTTCTATCATGGGTTTTTACCATTATTTGATCCATTATCTTCACCATGATAGGATTTGATGTTGCCAGAACAGGAGGGGTCTTTTCTGACTGCTACAACAAGCAGTGTCAGTGACATCAGAGCAGTCACTTATCTCTTGAATGAGGTTAGCCTATTTACCTACAAATTTGAAAGAAAGTTAAAAAATTTAAAGGATATTAAAAAGTTTTAAAAGGCCTCTACACCGTATTATTATTATTGGATATTCTGAATCGGTTAAATGCTTTTAAATAATTTCCCTCCCTCTTTTTGAATGTTTTTGAAATCGGTGGCAGAAAGGCTCATGGGAGTCAAGAGCACGGGAATCTGTTAAACAGCAAGTTTTAAGATCTGAGCCAAATGACTATGGTAAGAGTGAGACTTTTAACGAAGTCTGAGGCTTGTGGCAGCCGCGTGAGAGCTGGCTTCAGAAGTCTGACCCCTGGGTGTTTCATGTCTACAACCAGGGAGACATAAAAGAGGCAGCTGGCTTCTCAAAGAGTAACATCTGCACGGGGAATAACAGGCCAAGGAAAAACATACCCTGCTATACTATCGAGAAACTCAGCAGGTGGCTTTATGGCCAAAGCTTGTTCCAAACTCTTAATGTCTTTTTAAAACCAAGAATGTGAGACTTCATTAATCCTGAGGAGGTAGACTTCAGAGCTACAGAAATGGACTGGACAGGGTAAGAATTAGAAAAGCAAGCTATGCAAGGAGGCCATTATGCACAATTCCACTAATAACTTTAAGCATTCTTAGCTGAATTCTACTAATTCATGACCTTTTAGGCTATTGTTGGCTACTTTTATCAACTTTATTTTTAGTCATGAAATGTTTCTCTAATTGCCTGAGAGTGAAAAAATATCATAAAAATTGCCTTACTGCCTCACCAGTTCCTTTGCTTAACAGCTTAACACACAATCACCAAACAAATATCCAGCATGTCAGACATTCCGTCTTATATAAATTCTGATTTCATTAAGAGTGAATTCTAAGGGCACAGTCACAGACCAACAAGGCTGACTTTATTTCACAAATAAGATATTAGAATGTACCGATATGGAACATTAGTAAAAGAAGACTTACTATAATATTTAGAAAAGTTTATTTGAAATCAGTGTTTAATCACTGATTTATCCAAATCAAAATTCATAATCCAACAAATTGACCTGCTCAGTGTAGTATAGTTTTTAATGTTATATAGACATTTTTAAAGAAATAGAATTCATGAAGTAACTCTATAAAGCACAGCTTATAAAAGTGTAATCGCATCTTCAAACATTTGGTGATAGACTAACCAACCATTCTTCCCCATAGTGAGGTACATCATAACCTACACAAGATACACTAAAGTCAGAAGCACCTGCTTCATCTACATGTTATATGTTTTATTCACAACTTAAGGCAATACCATAGAAAGTATTAAGAAGGAAATCTGTCACATGGGCACTACAATACCAACAATCCTAAGGTGACTCCAACAATTGGCACCTTTATATAGTCATCTCTTGAGTGGGAGCTGTGGATGCGATGTGATATTCCCATAATCATGTTAAATATCTTGGCCAACCAAGCAGAGATTTCTCCAGCTTACAAGAAAGTCAGATATTCAGAGCATAAGAATTCTGTGTGTTTTGCTTGAAGACAGAGTGTCCACACGAGGAAAAAGATGGGCATGTGGGTAGTGTTTATAAAGCATGATTATTTGTGGAAGGCAGAAGGAAATGATGTCATACAGGCATAAGGAATTCCATTTTTCCTATAATGTGAGTGAATGTGGGAGACTTCTCACCATAGTCCCCAGATAATATCCTCAGCCTGGCTAACACCTTTATTCCAGCCATGTGACACACTAAGCACAAGGCTACCAAGACGATGATCTCAGGTCATTACTGTGGTAGAACTGTTCTCTTGCCCCATCCAAGGACTTGCTTTTTATTTCTTCAGTAACTTGTAGTTGATAAATTCCAGATATAAATAATGCATAAGTTTTAAATTGTGTCACCTGAAGTAGCATGAGGAAATCTTACGTTGTTCCACTCAGGATGTGAGTCATTCTTTTGCCATGCACATGCATGCTATATGTGTATACTATCTATCTGTTAGTCACTCAGTGGCCATCTTGTCCATCCAACCATCACGGTAGTCATAGTGCCAGAAATGAAGAAGTCTTTATCTTAGTAACAGCTCTAAAGTACAATCACAGTGATATTTGCAATTGGGCCTGACAAAAAGAAGCCACAAAACTTTTACCTTTAAGGAAAAAAGTAAAAATTCTCAACTTAGTTAGAAAACAAAACAAAACAAAATTATATGCTGAGGCTGCTAGGCCCTACAGTCAGGGTAGATATACTGTGTGTGAAATTGTAAAGGAGAAAAAAGAAAGCCATCTCTTTGCTACTGTAACTACAATGGTTTAAGTGTTTTGGCCAGAGTATATAACAGCTTAGTTGAACAGAAAAGGCATTCAGCTGGCTTATGTGTTTATAAAAACAAGTGTATAGTGGTTGACACTGTCCGTGGTTTCAAGAACCACCAGAGGTCTTAGAACATATTTGGGGGGCTTCTGTAATTTGGAACACAGCAATAGAAAACCAATTCTATAGCTAAGCGCATGTTTTGCAAAAGTCCGAGACCATTCACCAGTATTTCCCGCTAATGCTGTTGTTATTGACGTTTATAGGAACACTGGTGTCTGCATTTGTATACTCACAAGTCTGTTATTGCACATTAAAATGAATAAATACAGCTGAAACCATTCTTAGTCCTGCAGTTTCAGAGACTGAAACCAGCTCTGATGTTTATAACTTACAGTGCCTTTGGGGGCAACGGCATTTATCCACCTTTCATGTCTGCTTGCTTGATTCAGGAGTCCTGAAATACAAAATTGCACCAAGTTCAGTTTAGTGGCTAAGAACAATATTTAAGCACACTAATCTTACTAGTGTATCTCAAAAAGGCAGAAATGCCTAAGAAGAGCGCCTTTGTAAACACAGTTTTAGTCAGGAAAGCTGTAAAGAGGTCATGTGGGTTTGCTCCTCTTCTTTCGCTTTGTTAGAACTACGGAGATGAGCTGTTATGTCTGTACTGGTTCTAGTATAGGTTAAAAGAGAGACTTCTACTGATGATAATTAAACTACTGCATCTGAGGTCTACAATATAGTCAAGTCTGACAAGTGTATTGGTCTGGGGAGTCAACTCTCCACAAGACAGTGGGCACATCAGCCACTCCCACAGTTCCTTACACACTGATCTTTCACTCGTTCCCTGTTCCCCGGAGGTCTATGTGGTGAAGGCTTCATTACCAGTGCACTATGGAAAGGTAGAACTTTCTGAGGTGGGCCCAGTGGTAGTTCGTTTGGTCACTGAAGTGTGCCCTTAGGGGGACAGTGAGGCCCCAGCCCTCTTCATCCTCCACTCTTTGCAGCCCTGAGGTGAGCAGCTAGGTGGTGTGTGCCCTGAGGTGAGCAGGTGGGGGTGCTGTGCCTGGCTGTGATGCCTCAGCACAAGCCCACAGGTAAAGGGGCCTGCTGGCCAGAGACTGCAGCACCCCAACCGTGAGCCAGTTGTTCTCACTGGAAGCTGATTAGCTCTGATATTTGTGAGGGGAACAGAGAGCTGACTAGTATCCTTTCCCTGCCTGTTATCCCTCCTCACCTCGCAACCTAGCAATCACTGATTGTCTCCTTTGTCACTGTGGATTATTTGTACTTCCTAAATCTTTACATAAATGGAACTGTACTGTTAAAAATGTCTTTTTCAATGAATTGAGGCTGTATCTTTTTTCACATTGTACCAGGCAGCTTCCCCCAAAGCATCAATACTTGTTGAGTGTTCATGGGTGGCATCTATAGAACTTCTGGGACAGCTCCTCCTGGTCCCCACGGTCCCTGGTGCTTCAGCTTAGTCTTCATTCTGGGACTCTGCTGGGCCCTGTCTGTCTCCTCTCCCTGTCCTGCAGCCTGGGAACTGGGTGGCGGCCACAGGCTGACACTTGCTTTCTCATCTCATTGGTGTTCTAGCTGCACATGACCTCCGCTATCAAAACACCCAGGGGAGTCTCTCTCCTGAGATCCACTGCAGTGTAGACTTAAGAAAGTCACTACGGAACTGTTTAGGGAGTTGTGAACATGTTCCTCACACCACTATCAACATTTTCTTTTTTCTACAGTGGTTTCCCTGTTAGTACCATAAGATACTCTCAGCTGAGGAAATGTTCCTTTTTAATAGACGACCTTTATGCCATACTGCAAATTCTCTATATTCTTGCTTCCCTTCCCTTCCCCCTGAGCCACAGTTCGGAGTCTGTCCTTGAACTCCCTGCACCTGTTGCAGACTGCAGAGGAGTATTCAGCCACTTCCTGTGCAGTTTCCCTGGGTGCTCTTCGTGCTATGTTTTCCATGTAACCAAGCCTCCACCCCTTCCCTTTGCTATCCTGGAGTAAGTGCCTCTCACTGCATGCAGTGAACCCCTGTGTTGGAGCTGTCCCTCCAACTCTGCAGGGAGGCTCAGCTTCTGCTTCACACTGTTCTTTTCTGTGCTTGTGCTGCATTTGGGAGGTATGTTGAGTGACCTTGCACTGATGTTTTTTCTACAATACAGAATTTCTTTTTCTTGTTATTCAAATAAACACAGAGAAAAGACTGGAAATCCTTAACTTTTTTGTTGTTGAACATCGTTTAGCACTGATAATAAAACATCAACCAAAGGAAGACTTTCCTGGGCCTTATCCTTAATCTACATCTCTCATCACTGCTTCAGTAAGTATCTGTCTTACGGAGTGCGAAGCTGATCTACTCATCTCTTTCCAGCAAGAGAGGCTAAGAGCAAGGCTGCTGGGAACACACACAGATGAGTGACTTTGGTTTAGCCTCCATGCTCAAGTCCAGACAGTTTACGGACTTCCTGTAGGCTGCAATCATCCTGTCTTGTCAACAGGGACTTCACTAAAGCTCCTGGTCCTCTGGCCTGGGTCTGTGCAGATGCCATTCTAGCTTGTACGGTTTACAGACCATCAGATGAAAGTCATGCAACACACTGGAACTCGGGGTTCCAAAGCCTCATCCTTATATGTCTCTTAGCCTAAAAATGGAGACAATTTTCCTGTGGCTAAGAAGTGGGAGAATGACCACACTACTTTCCTGTGGCTAAGAAATGGGAGAATTCCCATGCCTTTCAATAAGTGGGAAGAACAGTTTTCTACATCATGTTTAACCTTGCCATTTAATTTAGTCTCTAGCCTCCTACTCAGAGCTTCCCAAATATGTCATTTCCAAGTCCTTTCTTGTTAACTCAGAACATACTGATTTAAGCTGCACAAGCTAACAGACTTAAGACAGGCTCTGGGAAGTTGTTTACATTTGCACCAGGGTAGCATTCCTACCTCAGAGAGCAGACTAAAGTTCAGTGTACTGGGCCAGAGGACGCTGCTGTCATTTAGAAGTGCCACACACTGGCAGATGCACCACAAGAAGTATGTTAGGGAAATTCAGAAATGCAAATGACAACTCAGTTCCCTCACAAAATTTACTAGCTGGCTAGGAAATAAATCTTGCACCTATGAAGCAATGTGCAAATCATTATTCTAAAATTTTATCATTTTTAACATACACATTTCTACACAAAACCTAACAACACATACATTCTACTCTAAAGTAACTTTAATTCTGTTAGAAGTATTTTAATCTTCTCTCAATCAAAGCACAACCAAAGATATTTTAACAAGAAGTCATTACAAAAGAAAATATTTTTTGAGCTAGTCCAAATGGTACCCCATCCAGTAAATTATCCATCAGTCACTTGGAGTAACAAAGACACACAGAAGGAAATACCCCCGCAGAGACTCTTCCTCAGGCCTTTCCTCTGCACCATCCGAGTCTGACTGTTGCACTTTTCATCTCAGGCACTGTAGCTTTTGTTTCTGAAGATGTAATTTTGGTCTTTTTTTTATACTTGGCAGGTCTTAACCTTTTGAAGATGAGGAAAACAGCTATGATTTTGTTGTCCTTTCCTGCTAATTCTAACATATGTCAAATCTGCAGTGGCTTATTTTCTTCTTACAGGTCATGTTTTCCCTCTTGTCTCTGCCTCCCTAGTGCTGGAGTTTAGTATAGACACCACAATCACGCTTTCTCTTCTCTTTGAATGTCTGATAATCCCAAGCAGATGCCAGCAGGAACACTACAGCCGCTGAGGGCTAAATGCCTTACTTCTGTAACCCTGCATTGTTGTAAGGCTACAGTTAGATGAAGTACCTGTGTTTATGATGTGAGCCGGTTCTAAAGCGATGGCCAGCCTAAGACCTATCTGCTCCCACTACTGAGTCTTCCATTTACCGAAGGCTCTGTGAAGACTTTTCTTTCTAGTCTGGCGGGTGAAACAGGCATTATTATTAGGCCAGTGTGGTAGCCGCCACATGTGGTGTGATGCGCTTCCTGCACTCTCCCCTCCTGCTTTCCATTCTGATAGCCCTTGTCCAGTGGCTGCTTGCCATGGATAGCCTCTTCGTCTCAGCCTCTTCGTCTCAGCCTGTTTCCTTTCCTTTGGAGCCCAGTAGCCACCACTGTAATACAGACCTAGGTAGGCTACCTCTGGGCTTTCCCCTTCTCCTACACTCAAGCTGCCCACATCGTATCTACCAATAACTAGAAACACATTTTACCTGGAACCTCCAGTGGCCACACCTATTAGGATCCCAGAAGAAATTTCATACCAGGCAACACACAGACAGCACACTCTCCTAAGAACCAGAGAGGACAACAGAAGCCAAGGAACAAAACACCCACTCAACAAAGACAAGGCCAGATTTCAGCACCTAGAGTCATCCCAAATCCAGATGCCTAGATGCCAGTGTAAAAACAGAGTAACAAGCAAGACAATATATCTCCACTAGAACTCACCAACCCTACCACAGCAGACCCTGGGTACTGCAACACAGCTGAAACATAAGAAAAAGACCTTAAAGTAGCCTTTATGAATATGATAGAGGTCCTTGAAGAGGAAATTAGAAAGTCCCTTAAAGAAATCTATGAGAACACAAACAGGAAGGAAATGAATAAAACCACTGAAGACCTGAAAGTGGAAACAGAATCAATAAAGAAAACCCAAACTGAGGGAAATATGGCAATGAAAAATTTGGAAACTTGAACAGGAACCTCAGAGGCAAGCCTCACCAACAGAGATGCAAGAGAGATTCTCAGGCATTGAAGACACAAAAAGAAGAAATGGATACCTTGGCTAAAGAAAACGCTAAATATAAAAAAATTCCTGGCACAAAACATCCAAGGAGTCTGAAACACCATGAAGAGAGTAAATCTAAAAATAACAGGAATAGAAGAAGGAGAAGAAACTGCTGTGGGATGTGTTTCTGTAAGCTGTGAATATGTGTTGCTATGATTGATTAATAAAGAAGCTGCTCTGGCCTATGTTGAGTAAGGTTATAGCCAGACAGGAAATCCAAGAGAGAGACAGGGAGAAGAAAGGCAGAGGCAAAGGAGACACCAAAGGAGCAACAAGATGCCAGCAGTCCAGTAATGCCACAGCCATGTGGCAATATATAGATTAATAGGAATGGGTTAATTTAAGATCAAAGAGCTAGCTAGCCAGAAGCTTGAGCCATAGGCCATACAGTTTATAAATAATATAAGTCTTTGTGTGTTTACTTGGGACCAAACAGCTGTAGGACAGGGTAGGAGAGATTCATCCAGACAGGGGCCAGGCAGGACCGGAGAAATATCTGGCTACATTTGGCGTACCAACTTGGGGCTCTTGAATTTCCATAAGGTCTAAAAGAGCTTTAAAAGGGCTTCTAAACATAACAGCCAAAAACAGCTTCCTACTTGTGTCTCTCATGTGGGCCACAGTACAGAGACAC